CCCCCCCCCCCCCCCCCCGTCTTTCGCCGCAGGTGAAGCGCAGGAGGCTCCGACCCAAAGGCGATTCTGACGGAGGCGGGAGTGGGAGTGGCAAGGGGGAGGACACGCCGTGGAGCATCGCCTCCGTCACCGCCGTCGGAGAGGTGCACACTACCTTCGCCTTCAACGCCCTGGCGGACGCGCAGGTATGTGCTGTTGGTGTGTGGTAGGGGTGACGGCGGTGTGTGCGATGGGGGTGGGGGGGTGGAGGGCGAAGTGCGCACGACCCTCGCGTTCAACTCCCTGGCGAGCGCGAGGGTATGATTGTGGGTGACTGCTACGGATGTTGTCGTTTTTGTTGTTGTTGAAGGTGGTGGAGGTGACGCAGTTGAAGGTGAGGGGCGGGGGGGGGGGTGGCGAAGTGCACATGGCCTTCGCCTTCGACGCCCTGGCGAACGCGCAGGTATGCATGTGGGTGACTGCTAGCGCTGTTGCTGTTGCTGTTGCTGTTGCTGTTGCTGCTGGTAGCAGGGACGACGGTGGGATACGACGTAGGCGAGGGAAAAGGCAGTAGTATGCCGCGTCGTCGTTGATGCCATCGATGTCGCGCATGCGTGGTGAAATGGTGCTTCTTATGCCATATCTACAATACACGGGATATACATTCGGGTGTTTCGTCTCGATGTACTAGGCATTTTTCTTCGAGCGGGGGGCACTCGAAAACCTGAGTTTGGGCGGGTCAGGCACGGAAGTGTCCTTTTTTTCCACCTGGCTTGTTAGCTCTCCTATCGTGCTGCATTTTAATTTTGCAGGAGGAGCTCCCTCCTGCTGCCGCCGTTCTTTTTCTTGGCCCCCTGAAGCAAGCACCGCAGGGGGGCAGCGGGACAAATACGTTACCTCCCCGCAGTCCGTGTGGCCCCGGCCGATGCGTCAGATATATTCCGACAAGTGTAACCTGGCGGCGGAATAATGTGACTCCTGTGTATTTTCTCTTCCGTATTGGGGATATCCTGCAAGCGAATGGCAGTATTCCAGGGAGTCGATAGTAGCACCGACGACTTGGAAAATGACGTTCGTTTTAGATTGGCTGGCATGATTCCCCAAAGGTAGCAAGCATGATCTCGCATGTGCACCATGGGTTGGAGTGGCCGTCAGCACAACCAACTCAGCAAGCACAGAGGGGCAAGTGCATGTTTTTGTCTCGAAGATCCTCTTGCGGTTCTGGCTGGTGTAGCGTTTGGTTTGTGTGTGCTGTGCTGACACCTCATGTCTGCCTCACATGTTCCTCGCTACTCCCTCCTCTCTTGCCCCCCCCCCCCCCCC